GCCCAGCTATTTTTTGGTTGCAGCTGTCATTGTTGTTTGGCGGACCCAGGCTGGATTTGAACCCGCCACCTTAGGTGTATGTAGCTGACGCCTTAGCCACTTGAGCCACAGGCGCCAAGCCTGCACAAGTCTTTTCTACCAAGACTCTGCCTAATTTCAGATACCAAATACCATGTGGTGTTTGTATCAGTCAGTGTTTGCTGCATAATAAAACACCCCAAAACTTAGATGTGGCTGAAAATAACAATTGCTTGTTTAGTTTATGATTTTATGAGTCAGTATTCTAGGCTGGGTTAGCTGGACAGTTCTTCTGGTCTCAGCTGTATTCCCAGCCATATGTATGTAGTGTTAGTTGCAAAGCAGTCAGAGGCCTCTTCTTCTGGGGAGGTAGCTAGCTGTCAGCTGAGGCAAATGAGCCACATGTCTCTCATATACAAACAGGCCAGTCCAAGTTCCTTCACATGGAGCTGCAGGGGTCCAAAAGCAAGAGGAAAATCATGCCAGGCCTCTCAAGGTTTAGGCTTAAAATTGGCATTGTTTCACTTCCATGGTTGTACTGACTAAACAAAATTGCAAGGTTAACCCAGATTCAAGGTTGAAAAAGAAGTAGACTCCATCTCCTGATAGAAGGAGCAGCAAGGTCACATTGCAAAGAACATTGGTATAGGGCTGAGTGGAGAATTGGGGCTAATTTATCAATCTACCATAGTCCTCAGTAAATAGTCCCACAATACCTAGCATGTAGTGGGTGCTGAGTAAATATTTATTGACAGTGCTAAGATGTTTTTTTTCTTTTTTGAGACAGAGTCTCACTATGTCGCCCTCGGTAGAGTGCCTTGGCGTCACAGCTCACAGCAACCTCCAATTCCTGGGCTTAAGCAATTCTCTTGCCTCAGCCTTCCAAGTAGCTGGGACTATAGGCACCCACCACAACACCCGGCTAATTTTTTTTTTTTTGGTTGTAATTGTCACTGTTGTTTTTTAGCAGGCCCAGACCGGGTTCAAACCCACCAGCTCTAGTGTATGTGGCTGGCACCCTAACTGCTGAGCTACAGGCACTGAACCTACAGTGCTAAGATTTTTAATCACTGTTTACTGACTCCATTCAGTGCAATCAGTTGGCAAAATTTCATCCCTCACTACTAGGGATAGGGCCTAGAAGCCTCAAGACAGTCATTGCTACCTTCAGTTTCAGATAGCAAGTGAGGGGATCATGAAGCTAGGACTGTGCAAAGGAAGCCCCTGTGGAGCTTCTTAGTGAACCAGCTCAACTTGTGTGGAACAGACAGGCTCTTCTAAAGAGATCCAGAGCCTCTTTGGAGGCGTGGGCCACTTAGAGATGTGTTTCAAGCATGGCCCACCTTAGTTAGAAGCCATACACCCTTCACCTGTGAAGAGAGAAAGACTCATGTTTGCTAGGGCTCAGACACAGCCTGTGCTCGTGCTTGAAACCCTTACAAGGTACCTGCACAAAGGAAAACTCTTGTGATATAACAAATTGTTACATATATATGACTATTCCCTGGGCAGGATAAATGCTCAGGGCACTTGTGGAAGGGAAACTTTCCTATAGACTGAGCCAGGATCTCAACTCCTATGACTGAAGACCCTAATGGGGATCACATCCCATCAAAGAATTTCAAGATGCAATCTTGAGGACTGTTATGGGTTGATTTGTGGGCCTTCACCCTACCACCGTCACTACCAAC